GATGCATCTACAAAGAGATGTGCTTGAACGATTGACAGAAGGTCATCCTGAATGCCGTTTTCAATCTTCATTCATCTTCTTTTGACCCCGTAGCCAATCCTAGAGCTCTTTTGTCATCAAATCTTCATCGTGAACCTCCCGATGACATCCAAAGCTCTCAAATCACTCTCGAATGCTTCTCAACTCATCCCGATTTCTTCTCAAGCGCCGGTGCCGAACTCTAAAATCCTGATTTTGACTCCAAATGACACAAAACTCGAACCAACGCTTGTTAAACATAACTTGAGCTAAAATTAAGACTTGCAACACCTTAAATATAGGAAAACCATCAAAATCCAATCCCAACACGCATCAAATGCGTGTCTAAATACGGACTTGTCATTTGCCATGAAGGCCAGTTATTTTGCAGGACCGAGTCAAATCGGGCTACCTGGTCAGGCTTCGGTTTAGACCAGGCTAAATCTAATCATTTTTAACTAACTCACAAGTGCTACAAAAAATATTCAATGTATATTAATGGGAAAAGTACGGAAAATGTACTTTTGTTTGAGCTCATTTTCAAATAGGGTCACATGTTTCATTTTTTATCAAATTGGTTCATGTGTTTGGAATTCCATTATCACAAAAGGGTCACACAGTTAAAAACGTCTGAGTAAGACGGTTAATAGTAACTCCGATTTTCAAAAGTGCCCGAAAAATTATAAGAAAAATACCGGAAGGTGCGCTTCAACAAGACGACTGCTAGTCCACCCTTTTCACCGAAAAGTCCACCGGAAAAGTGATATTAGCGAAATTTTTTTTTTTAAAAAAAATTAAACAAATCCGAAAAATCCAAAGGCAAAGGTGGTTTGGAGGTCATCTTGACGAGGCGCATCTTCCGGTATTTTTCTTTTAATTTTCCGGGCATTTTTGAAAATTAGAGTTACTATTAACTATCTTTCTCGTCGTGCGTTTTTAACGGTGTGACCGTCTTGGGATAACAGAATTCAAACACACGAACCACATGACCCTATCTGAAAACGGGCTCAACCACAAGTATTTTTTCCTTACTTTTTCCTATATTTATTGAAATATGAAGTACAATTGACAATATAGTTAGCAGCTTCTTTTTAAAAAGCGAGAAAATATAGTTTGCGTCCCCTTAGCTTTTAATTTTGCATACTCCACAGGGTGTTGTGCCTTCAAGTGCCTATTAGACCCGCCGTATCCTTGCGAAATACCCAAGCTTATTTTTTGCTACAATGGTATAGTTGCCCACCTTTCTTACCGGGTTGAGATGAACCAGTCTCGTCCTCATCGGGTGTTTCCTCATCGGGGGTTTATTTGTGGCTTTGTTCCTCTTTGGCTGTTGTCGGCTCCTCCTCTTCGGCGTCGTCATCCTCAAGCTTTTGATCAATCTCGGGCATGTCTTGTTGTTGGTAAAACCGCCCATCCTTTTGGGCCAATAGTTGTTGTAGTTGTGCGTCGGACATCACATCTATGCGGTCGTAATTTGTTTCAAAATCATCTCGGCTTAGAGAAGAAGACCCTAATATGTCCTTTACCTTTGCCTCGTGATATGCACTAGTTAGTAGTGCATAAATGTATGTTTTTATGTTTGTTTTGTGTGGATTGTTTATCTTTATTATTTAGTTTGTAGACATTTGTGTGATTTCGTTTATAATTGTTTTTAGCTTTCATTTGTAAGTTTTAGAGTAATTGTACAATTGTTAGTACTGGAAAAGAGGAAAACATCAAGAATTCTGCCCAGGAGCACTTACCCGGCCGGGTAGAGACCTTCACTCGGTTAGGTAAGACTTAACACCCGCAGCATCCGGGAAATTACGCTACCCGGTCGGGTGAAATACTTCACCCGGTCGGGTGAGAAGTGACCCGGGACAATTGAACGTGCTGAAACACAACATCGTGGAGGATTGATATGATTTTGACTGGTACCCGGTCGGGTAAGCACTATGGCTCCGTTTGGAAACCACCAGATTGGCCAAACCACCAAATATTTTACAAAAGAAAACGCTGAGTTTTCTAGCGGTTTGGCTGCCAACCGCCAAAAAACAAACGCTCCCTATACCCGGTCGGGTACCCGGCTAAAGGTGTGGAAAAACACCTATAAATAGCACACTTTTCCTTCACTAATTTTCATTCCTTCTTCCATACTCTTAAGCTCAGTTTAGAATAGTTATTTCTTTTTATTTTTCTAGCATGTTTAGTCTCCAAATGAGGAGCTAAACTTCCATTTCTTGGTTTTGCTCTTGAAGCTTGTTAAATGTTAAAGTTGTGAGTTATTTTCTTAACTTCTTCTCTTTAATGTTAATTCTTTCCTTAATCTTATTTCTATATTAACGTTGGGGTGTTGCTAAGTGACGATTAGTTAACGTTTTGACATTAATTATTACTAGAAACGACCAACGAACCAATGGTTAATCGTTGGTGGTTTCACAAGTAAGTAACTTCGGTTTATTAATGCACGGTCGTGGTTAATAGACTTAAGAGGGATTAATTTTGTTAGTTAAACCGAAACCGTTGTGTTGAGGTTATCAATCTCAATTGATTTCATCAAGGAGTTAAAATGATTAAATGCTACTATTAAATCGGTATACGATGTTGTTCTATATTTGATTAATTGTAAGGGTTGTTAATGAACGGTCGTTATTAATAACTAACTCAATGAATTCGAGATACTCCCCGATTGAGTATTCGAGAGGGGATAAGTTAAAGATATAACCGGGATCAACTAAGCATATCAACAAGTGGAAAGTAGCAAAGTCAAGTCTCTTTTATTTTTAATTAAAACTCATATAAGTCGTTCAACTTGTTGTTTAAATTAATTAAATTCCAACAATTCCAAAATCCCCCTTTTATTTACTAGTTAATTGAAAGAAAGTTATTCCTTTCCTTGTGGATACGAACTTCACTTCACTATACTACATATAAGTGTTAGTATCTAAATTATTTTTAGGCACTTACGACTTTAGTGCCGTCACCTCGCAAATTAGGATGGTTCTTGGCATTCTCCTTCTTTCAGTTGCGTTGGAGGTTACCCATATCTACAAAATTTCTACCTCATTCCATCTTCAAATGTAACAAATATTAAATTCTAAAAATATGTTAATGTAAGTACAAATACAATGCAACTAATATTAAAATGTAACTAAAATATCACTTTATGTAAGCAAATGTGAGCTTAACGTAACTAAAATGTAACAGTAATTTGTAAGAGAAACGAGCCCACCCCTACCTTGAGTCACACTTTTCGACTGCTACTGTGGAAGCCGCTTTGGACATACTACGTATTTAGGAAAAGTCACCGAAAATGTTTCATTTTTTATTGTGAATCTAGAAAATTCTTCAAAAAAGTTATGAGAAATTTATTTTTCGATGGTCACATTATGGAATTGAACTTTAATAAGTAAGTAATATTCACTATTTACGGAAAAATATTTAAGCAAAATATTCCTTTTTAATTATTTTTTGTCAATATGTAAAAGTTATCACCTTTTTGGAAGTGAACTCCAATAGTTCAATATAGTTTTTCCTTTGTCGTCCATTTTTCTCTAGTCAACCTGATCTGTTCTGAATGTTTTATCAATTTTGATTTTCCTGTGACTTTATAAATTTTTTGATGTAGTTACTGAATATGCACATAAATTTTATTTACTAAAAATACAATTATTAATAACATGGATCAATTAACTTTATAGCTAGTCAAACACCGTAAACGACTTGGAAATCTTTAAGTGGGATGGAGTAAGTAATATTTAAGGTAAAAACCCTATTGCATCGGCATTAAGGGCATCCCCAAGTCCCAAGATTAGTTCATTTGAAGATTAATTAGATTATTTTCAAGATTATCATTGAGAGAGAGGGATTATTGAAAAAGAAGGTCCGGTATTAAAAATTCATAACTGATTATTGTAGATTGTTGTTAAATATTCTCCATATTTAATTAATGCATGTTCTAGAAATATACTTCATCTGGTCCTAAATAAATTTCACATTTTTCTTTTTGGGTAGGTCCAAAATAAAATTCACACTTCTATTCTGATAAGTTTTTAATATAAAGTTACATTTATACTCTAACATTATTACCTATTTTACATCCACTTTCTCTCTTCTACTACATTTTATCTACTAAGTATTTTTATATGATATGATGGAAAAGTCAAAAACAAAAATTTCACTTTCTTAAAAACCTAAAGTCAAACTATGGATTTTATTTAGAACCAAGGTAATACTCAGTCACCAATTCAATGTTGATGCACTTATAAATATTTTGTCAAGTGCAGTGATTTTTTTTTCACTGGGGTGGGGTAGGGGGCGTGGAGTAATCAAGACTGAAAGTCACTCTATTGAGTTTCAAACCTTTATGTGTCTAGCGGGATTCAAACACGAGACCTCCCACTAGGCACGGTAACCTCACAACCACCTGGACTGGAATGCTTGGTTTGTGACACTGAACCGTTTCGCTGTTCCGGAACATAGTTTTAAAGTTGCAAGTAAATTTGTAATCTGATTTGATTGTAATTTTTTTGCAACATTTAAATCTGTCTTAACGATAAAAATTAACTACAATCTACCTTTTTTTGGGAAAGTTCCCGAAATAGGACTAAAATATTTTGAAAATTCCAAAATAGGACTGCCACATTTTTTATTCCCAAAATAGGAGTAATTACTGTCAAGTTTGGAAAATACTGCCAGTTTGAAGTCTGGTACTGCCAAAACATGACAGTAATTAGTCCTATTTTGGGAATAAAAACATGAGTCTTATTTTGGAATTTTCAAACCTTTTTAGTCAGGTAATATCTTTTTTTTTTTAAATGTACTAATCACCACCCCGGTGCATATGGCTTGTTGGCCAGCTAGCAAATTCTTCCGGTACATCGGTGCGGCCGTAGCAATGAAATAATTGAGTAGAGAGAAGTAAGTTATTCAATGATCACATACCAACAAAATGCTTTAAAGTTACAAAAAACATGCGTGCAAACAGCTAAAGGAGTGTACTATTATATGTACTCTAGTAACAGGAACGGAGCACCAATATGATGTTTCCCCTGTTTAGCTAGGGACATTGGAATATTATCAATCAAACATGAATGCGAGCATCTCTAGAGAAGAGGGGCGCCAGAATGAGGAGGCTGAAGGCGTCACAAGCAGCATCAATGTGCAAGGAGAAGAAGACGCACTCATCCAAGTCCTGGAAAGTAAGCTATCGATGTCGCCGAAAGCCCTCAGCAAATCGGCCGGCAGAAGCGGTTGCTGCATTTTCCGGGTACACCCGGGCTTCACCAGGGTCAAGGTCCAGTCGTATCAACCTCGCATCGTCTCAATCGGTCCATACCACCACGGGCAGGAGCAGCTGAAGATGATGGAGGAGCACAAGTGGAGGTTTTTGGCCAGAGTGGTGAAGAGGACGAGGGAGAAGAAAGAAGGCGTGGGTTTGAAGCATTACTTAGAAGCAGTCAGAGAACTGGAAGCAGTGGCCAGAGCATCCTATTCTGAAGCGATCGATCTTACTAGCGATGAGTTTGTAGAGATGTTGGTTCTTGATGGGTGCTTTGTGGTTGAAATGTTTCGGGCATTCAGCGGGGCGGTTCCCTTTGAGGAAGACGATCCATTTCTTTCAATGCAATGGTTACGATTCAGTCTCCGCCACGACTTCCTCTGCCTCGAGAACCAAATACCATTTTCCGTGCTCGAGAAATTGTTCAAACTTACTGAAATGGGCGAAAAAAGCACACTCAAGGGAACATCTCATACGAGTTGTTTGTCCCTGCTGGCCCTCCACTTCTTTGACACCACAGGTGCATTCGCAAGAAAGACCGAAGGGATGATCAGGGCCAGTTCAGGACACGAGTTTGAAGGCCTACATCTACTTGATTTGGTCAGGAAAAGTTATTTCCCCAAGGGTTCTCGGGAGCAAAGGGAACCAGGATCTCGGTGCAAGGGAAACTGTTTCGGGTCGAAAGGCGGGAAATATGAGTATCGCAACTTCCACCGCATCTCGAAGCTGCGGAAAGCGGGAATCAAGTTTAGGAGCAACAAGAGAGAGGCGGGGAGTTTTCTAGCTGTGGGATTCAAGCGGGGAACGATCAGGATGCCCCCGCTAACGCTGGACGACACGATGTGCGCGTTCTTGCTGAACTGCGTGGCGTTCGAGCAATGCCACAAGGGGAGCGACAGGCGTGTGTCGCAGTACGCGGTGTTTCTGGGCTGCATCATAGACACAAGCGAAGATGTGGACATTCTGTGTGAGGCCAAGGTCTTGCACAACCGTTTAGCGACGCAGGGTGAGGCGGTCGCCTTTGTGGGCATGCTCGCAGAGGCGGCGGCCTCCACTAAACTCGGCGAAAGCTACTTGAAGGAGGTGTTTGCTGGCTTGAACAAGTATTACGACAACAAATTGCACACTCATGTTGCCGAGGTCAAGGGAAAATACTTCAGCTTCATGCCTCTCTTTGATGCCTCTATTCATCAAATTCGTAAATTTGGTTCCAATTTATTTAAAAAGGAAAAATGATTTAAGTATCCAAATTCATAAAGGGGTGTGAAGCAAGTACTATAAACTTGCGCAAGTAATATTTATATCCTAATCTTTATATAAAAAATTACATTACCACCATGATCATATGTTTTTTGACAAATGTAATCTTATGATGAGAAGTACTCCCTCCGTAACTTAAAAATCTTCCCACTTTCCTTTTTCGTCCGTAACACAAAAATCTTCCCATTTCTAAATCTTCCCATCATACCCTCAATAATTCTTAAAATAATACTCTATTACAACTACTTTTTTTGGATTTATCCTACATTCCACCACATTATTCCATTATTTTCCCATCATACCCTCAATAATTCATATAATCTTTCACTATTCTTAATCTACCTACTTTTAAAATTGGAAGATTTTAAAGTTACGGAGGGAGTATATAATTTAAAATTCACAAATGCAATTAAAATAGATGGTACGTGATTGATACTCCCTCTGTCCCCTTTTTAATGTCCTGTTTTATTATATTGGAATGTCTCTATTTAATTGTCTCATACCTTATTTGGTAAAGTGTGTGTGGCTCAAAATCATTCTTACTTTATTCCTACTTTATCAATTAATATCAACCACACAAATCCACTTTTCTTAAAACTCGTGCCACTCTCTTCCGTCCAATAAAAAAGGGACGGAGGTAGTACTACCTTCGTTCTTAAATAAGTGCAACATACCAAATTTTACACGATTCATAAGCTCTGCTTTGACTACATTTTATTTATTGATGTATTAATATATATATTTTGAAACAAATATTACTAAATTTGTCTCATTGTAAATTTTCAAAATCTGATTTTCAAATTTTTTTCACTAATAGAGAGTTATAAATATTAATGGTCAAAGTTGTGTCTCGACAAATGTGAAATGTTGACCGTTGCACTTATTTAAGAACGGAGGAAATATTATTTATTTCAAAAATGAAATTTTAGAATGCTAACTACATCCGAATAAAGCTTAAAGCATTTTAAATTGTGTATTTGTTGCATTAATTTTATATTTTAAAAAAAACTATAATCATGGTGCTCAAATAATTTTTTTATAATGTTCGGACTATAGATATTACGTATGTCAGTTTAGGGTATTCATCTCACATGTTTGAAATATTTATATTATTTTTTCCTTTTGTTTCAATAAACTTATCTTATATGTACTTCTAAAGTTTTAATGTTGCTGTAAAACTAAAACACATGTTCTTCTACAATCTGTACCATTCATTATTTATCTTCACATTCAACTATTCACCCCGCCTTCATTGTATCAGCTTTTGTGTGTTGGCTTTACCTTTCAATTAATATCTTATGTATGGAGTCTTTGTTTACTTTATTTCGCATTAAATGTTTTCATCTAATTTACAATTTTAAATTCCACTACGTCTACGTTACATTCTGCATTGTACATCAACTTTTATCTTCTCCATTCTAAATGAAATAGTCAATCCCAAACAAGTAAACAACTCAGCAACATTTTACACCCGGATTTTGAGTTTGCGACCAACAACATAGAAATCCATTGCTCTTATAAATGGAGATTAAAATAGGTTCTTGAAATTGGGTAATAATTTCTTGAATGTCATATGTTTGTATATTCCTTCCAATATATACACCAATTGTTTGCCTTAAATAATTTTTTACGTCCCTATTTATACTCAAATTGTAAATGATTCTACAATATTTGACTAAGTAATTCTATATAGAATCAATTAGGGGTGGGCCGAAACAAAAAACCGAATCCATAAAACCCTATCTACAATCAAAATAAATTGAATCCCAAGAAACTAAAGTCGAACTTGTTTTAAAATACTATTTATGGGTATTTCACAAAATCCATAAATATTATAAATGTCTATTCATAATATTTCAACTTTTTTGTTCATAACCAACTTTCATATTATAAATGTCGTTTTTTGTTTTAAAATACTATCAACTTTTAATACATCATACGGAGTATTAAACATGTTTAATTTAATGTAATCTCTAAAAAAACACTATAAAATGATAAGAAAACACTAAAGTCTAGCACTCCTTAACACCTTGTGGGTGTTTGTATTTTGGCGGATTGGAAGCAACACACTGCAAAAAGCAGCGATTGCTATTGCAAAAAACGGCAGTTTGGGGTAAAAAGCTATTACCCAAACACCCCCCTTAACATGTATACGATTTTGTGTATTTTGGCTTATCAACTAGAGCCCTTACCAAACATATTTCACCTTTTCTTTACTGAAATATCCTCCACTAAGACACAAGAAGCGTGATTCGGAGATCACTTAGCATACATAATATGATCAAGATCAACTTAAGTGGTACAAAGACTTGCAATATCTTCCAACATGACATTGAAGGATGACTGAAAGCAAAGGAATATCCTTGCTTCAACGCACACTCTTTGTTTCAAAGCTCGGAGAGTGAAGCAGCTACTTGCCCACTCAGGACAGGATGCTTTGGGAAAGCGACAATGGAGAAAGGTTCTTAAAGGTTCAATTAAGTTCCTCCGTTACATAAATGTATGCTGGTAGTCTTTATTTCCTTTCCTAAGAATCTGTCTTCAAATGATCTAATGCAAAACTTTGTAGTGAGTGAAAAGTATCAACTGCTCCTCTTGTATTTACCGGCATCATCTTTGGCTGCTAACCCCATTTCCTGGCTTTGTTGTTCAGAGGAAACTAAACTAGCCTTGGCAAGAATCCCGTACAAGCATAGAAGCACAAATATGAAGTGTAAATCTTTCGCAATACCAACCACTACAATTCAAGTACCAGCTTGGGCCATAAATTAAATAAGTCTGGTAATTGATGTTATTATTAGATTTAGTAAAATAATAACAAGTTCTGTGGCAAGCTATTGCTACCAGAGCTAGAAAGTTGTAATTTTCTCAATTGTGATAAGAAAGTACGTGTAGCGGAGAGTCACAAGTTGCAAACTCTTAAGACTGAGAAAGGGAAATAGGGCTTGAAGAGAATCATAAGTTGCAAATTCTATCACTAAATAGCACAACAGTTAATAAACAAACCCTTACCAGAACATGAAATTGCCCATATGGGAGACAAATATGTGATATCAAAAGTGCTAGCAATTCTCAACTACAGATAAGAGCCAAGATACTAATAAAATTAATATAGAATATGTGGAAAGGAAATATGAAGGGAAGATGTGAGCGGATATTATGCATGACTGAAATACTCTCCACATGACAACGTATGTATGAATGCATATTAGCAATTATTGTATGTGAATATTCTTTCCTTTATTATTATATTATTATTGTATGGTAGGAGATATTATTAGATTTAAATTAGTTTCCTTAGAAAGCTACGGCTCTCATGTATAAATTATTGGTTGTACGTTGCTTTGTAAACTACGAAGGGAAAACTACTTCTGATTATTATTTTATATACTTTATGCTTATTAGTCAAACTTTATGCGTATTATGGTATCAGAGCGTTTCTAAGGCTGGGACCCGTGTTATAACATCAGCTCCCACATGGTTGCACTTGCAACCATGTCGCAACTATGGAATATTTGCCACTTTTGATCCTCAGGTTGATTTTTCCGGTCAACAACTTGTTGGGTGTGTTTCGAAAAACAAAGAAAAGTTTTCCAACGAACGAGAACCAAGCAAGAACACAGAGGAAGTTTTCAGAGAAAGTTGGAGTGTTTTTTGAGCTAGAGAAATATGCAGTTCGTGTATTGTTCTCCGATTTCAGAATTTGATTCGCACCCCGCGTGCGCGAGAGGGAGTCTTTACCCTCATGAATCTTAACTTCTTGGGGGAGGGGGTTCCCTTTATAAAAGGTTCAAATTCCCTTTGGTTTTCCGGTGTGGGTAAAAACCACTAGAAACTCATCTTTTCCTAATTTTATCCATTTCAACGAGTGAACTTCCAAAATCAATTTCTCATTCACCTGTTATCTGTTTTGAGCGTACCATATATCAAATTGTAGCCCTAAGAAAGAACAATCCGAAACCACTTTGACCCGACCCAAATCGGAAGTGGATCCCACTCAAAAAATTGCTTCAAAATGACCATTTAATACAATTTATTAACACATAAATTGTATTAAAAAGTTATTTTTATACATAGTGCCATTTGTATGGCACTAGGTCCATATACATGACAATATTATTACTTTGCAAATCGAACATTTATAATGACACTAAGATTCATATCCCTGTTTTGATATAAAATCCTTTAAAAATGGTATTCAAATGGTCAGATAATATTTTGAATCCTTTTTTCCAGATTTAAGATTGACTGTGGTGGAGTCAAAACCGGTGGTGGCGCTAGAAGAGATGTGGTGTCGAACGAGGAGGTAGTGGCACCCTACAGGATCTGACGGTGGCGGTGGAGACGACTGCATCGACCGTCGGCAGCAACGACGTCGACTGGCAGTGGAGTCATCTAGCAATTGCGACGCTGGCATAACAGAGGCGGTGGTAGCGATGGAGATTGCGGTGGTGGCCGGCAACTGACGACGGTGGCTGGCGGCAACTGGTGGCGACGACTATTGGAAGTTGTAAGTGGTGGGCGTGAGAGACCTATCTAGTGTTGTGCAGAGCATTCAGTTTATTGTCTATTTTATATGTATTAAATTAATCACATTATTCATTAAAGGTACTTTTGTCAACACATAAATTTTTAGTCCTACGGAATTGCACGGATTGTTGAAGTCCTATATTTTCACTTTTGTTATCTTTTAGTCCTACTTAGGAAATTAGCTCTTCTAATATTCATTTCAACCTTTTAACAAACACCTTATGGGCAACAAAATGGAATATAATGTTTAGATTATTGGGAAAACTGTCAAATAGGTCATTGAACTTTCATAAAAAGGTCAATTAAGTCCTTCTATAGGAGGTTCTGTCCGGCTCGTCGCGATTTAGGGCAGTTCCCGGTGGAATTTTTTGATGAAATTTTTTGAGCATCTTCTTCACCAAGTCTAGTTTACTCATACCAAATTTCAACTAAAGATTCAATCCGGAACACATTCAAATTAATTATTGAAGATAACTGCGCATTTTTGCGTACTCGAATTAATTTGAATACGCTTCCGATTAAATATTTAGCTGAAATTTGGTATGAGTAAACTAGACTTGATGAATAAGATGCTCAAAAAAATTCATAAAAAAATTCCACCGGGAACCGCCCCAAATCGCGACGACCGGACAGAGTCTCCTATAGAAGTTGTTAATTGACTTTTTTATGAAAGTTCGAGGACCTATTTTGACAGTTTTCCCTAGATTATACTAGTATATCAATAACACAAACATAACAAATCTAGGATTCCAAATAGCAGGCAAATAGTTCAATAAACAACTTCACAAACATACTAAGCATGAAACTAGAATTTTAAACAGAAGAAATTTTAATAAGCATTGTGCTTCATATAACAAATCTAAGACCCTGAACTCACATTAGAGAAAAAGTAGAGAGACAGAGAGTTATAACCTTGAGCCTGCTTCGTCGGAGATACTTAGCAGCGCAATAGAGCGGTATAGTGATACAAAAGAAATAGGGGACGAAAGACGATGGAGATGAGTGCAGTTTAGGGGGGAGGGCAATGCAGACGAAATAAAAGAGGTATGGGATAAGACGGCAAGAGAGGAGTGTACGGGAGAGAAGAAAGCAGAGAGCAAAGAGAGAAGAGCTAATAAAACAACCCCTTATATAACCTACCTTGATTGCACTATAGGTCTGTTTTACTCGGGAGTCTTCTCTTTCTTGAAATAGCGCATAATGGTGAAAATGGTCTGGATGGTGGTGAGGAGGAAGAGAATAATGACAGCGCAGACAGACGTGAGTTTCCAAGGGGCGCTGAAGTATCTGCTGAAGTGTGTTTCACTGACCTTGGCCCATCGAACATGCCATGGGTCGGCGTAGTGTTTGTCGAAGTCATTGTTCACTCCAGCAAACACGTCCCTCAAGTAGCCTCCAGCAACATCGCACGCCGCCGCCTTTCCGAGCCTGCCCACAAAGTTTTTCACCTGACAATGCAAAGGGAATGAGTGGCGCAAGATATTGGCGTCCCACAAACGAGCTACGTCCTCGTGCGTGTCTATGAGGCAGTCCAGAAACGCCACGTACTCTGAAATGCTCTTGTCTTCCCCCCGCCAGCGCTGCTCGAACACCACGCAGTTCACCAAGAACGCGCACATCCTGTAGTCCAGCTCGAGCCGGGGCATCCAAATCACTCCCCGCTTAAATTCCACCTGTAGGAAACTCCTCGCGTTTGTGTTCAACTTCAGCTTGATTCTGGCTTGCTCCTCCAGCTTCGAGACGGCCGGGATTTTACTGATACTGCCTTGCTTAGAGTCCCAGTCAGTCCTCGGGAAACAGTTCAACCGGGACTCTTCTATGGCGCTTTTCAGCCGGGTTCCGGCTTTCAGCAGCAGATCCAAGATGCAATTGGTGTCCCAGGGTAACACCGAGGAAGAATAACTTTTCCTGAGTAAATCAAGTAGATGTACGGGTGACCGTTCCAAGTAGATCATGTACACAGATCTGCCCAATTCACGCGATCTGTTGAAGAAGTGGAGGGCCGTGAGGGGCAGCGAAGGGCGGCTCTCGCCGGGCAACCTATCGCTTCCCATTTGAGTGAGCTCGAACAATTTCTGGAGCACCAAATATGGTATTTGGTTGTCCAGGCAGAGAAAGTCGTCGCGGAGACGAAGTTGTAGCCGTGTCATTGACGGAAACGGATCGTCTGCCTCGAAGGGAACCACCCCGATGTATGCCCGAAACATTTCAATCACAAAGCACCCATCAAGAACCAGCATCGCTACGAAATCATCCTCGTTGAAAGTAGTTGTATCCTCCGAATACGATGCTCGGGCCTCTGCTTCCAATTCTTTGACCGCTTTTACGTAGTGCTCTATGCCCACGCCGTTGTTCTCCGTCGTCCTCTTTATCACTCTGTTCAGGAACCTCACCTTGTGCTTCTCCATCTTCTTCAAATGAGGCTTCCCGTGGTGATATGGACCAATTGAGACCGTACGAGGTTCATGCGACCAGGCGAGGACACATGAATTGGGCAAACCCTCCTGGGGTACCGGGAAAATGCAGCAACTGGATGAGCTTTGACTTCTGCCGGCCGATTCGCTGATTAATTTCTGCGATTCCGGCAGCTTACTTTGGATCAATTCTATGATTCTGTCTACATCAACTTCCACCTTGCTGCTAAGGAGTCCTTCAGCCTCCTCATTCCGGGGCCGCTCTACTCTGGAATTTCTCTCGTCCATGTTCGATTCAGATTGTGGGTTTTTTATATTGCGGGTGTTACTCCAAACTACTTTCAACTTCTAACTTTTAAATGAAGTGGTGATGAAGTTGCCACATGTGTCATTGAAAGTTGCCACATTCTCCCTTTGTCTCATTTATATTGTCCCGTTTTACCTTTTCAGAAAGTCCCACTTAAATTATATCATATCATATTTGGCAAAGTTTGTGTGACTCTAAATCATTCTTACTTTATTCTTACTTTATCAATTAATATCAACCACACAAACCCACTTTTCTTAATAACTGTGTCAGCCTCTTCCGTCCCAATATAAATGGGACGGAGGTAATAAATATTAGTAAATAAATTATCTTTCTCCTTATTTGAATAGTCTTATACAATTTTAGTAAGTTTTTTCTGCAATATCAAGGAAACCGTATAGATGTAGACATTGTAGTTAACATTGTTAAGAAAAACATACCAAAATTATATAAAAGCATTCAAATAAGAAAATAAATAATTTATTTAATACTCCCTCCGTCCCATTTTGGTTGTCTTGCTTTCCTTTTTGGATTGTCCCAAAATGAATGTCATCTTTCCCTTTTTGGCAAGAAATATGTGGTCTATACCATTTTACTTTACTCTACTAAATATCAATCACAACTTTTACTTTTCAACCACTTTATTAATAACCGTGCCAAACTAAAAGAAGACATCCATTATGGGACGGAGGCAGTAATATTTATGTGACTATCTCTCATGCCACATGTGCACCGTACACATTATAGCATTGAAGATGCTCTAACATATGGGTAGTGGTTCATAGCCAAGGGAAACATTATACTTGTACTATGTAATTAATTGAATAAATCAGAGAAAACTGTCAAATTAGCTCTCAAAGTATATCAGAAAAGTCAATTATACCCTCCAACTAGGGCTGTGCACAGATCGGGTTCGGGCGGGCCGGGTTTGCGAACCCTAAACCCGTTCGGGTTTTTTTTAATTTAAATACTAGGCCCGACCCTCTGATATTTCAAATCGGATATTTCAGATATTTTTAAGTCGGATACTATCGGTTATCGGGTCGGGTTTCGGATATTTCGGTTATATTAAAAAAATTATAATTGGATAATTAAAGTGTTTAAATGCCACTTTGACAAAAATTGTACACACTACTGCACTAAACTTCCAAATTACACAAATAATTTAACAAAAATTGCACAAATAATTACACAAATAATTCAACACAAGTACTAATTTAACATATTTAAAGTACACACTACATAATTTAATATATTTCGGATATTTTGGTTGTATTAAAACACATTATAATTGGATAATTAAATTGTTGGAATGCCACTTTGACAAAAATTGTATACATTAGTGCAGTACACATTCAATTTACACAAATAATGTAATACAAATTGCACAAATAATTATACAAATAATTGAACACAAGTATTAATTTAAATATTCAAAGTACACACTAACCTATATTTCGGATATTCGGGCGGGTCGGGTTGGGATTTTTCACAAACCCTACCCGTTACCCGGTCTAGGCCCAATACCAATCGAATTTTCGATCTCGGGTTTTTCGTGTCAGATATCCACTTAGGTTCTGATAATATTCGGAAAAAATATCGGATTTTTCGGGTCGGATCGGGTTTTCCTCAGCCCTACCTCCAAGTAAAGAAATACCAATTGAGTCCATCAACTACTCCGTATGTAAAAATGATCAAATTTGTAATCTAGCTTGTTCACTCCTGGTTAACTGGTGATACACGTGACATGACAGTCCAGCTAGCACATGTTTAATATTTGGGATAATTTGAGTTTGCACCCCATTTTATTGTCCAAATTGGACTTTGCACCCCGTTTTGAAAAATATTTGTTTTTGCACCCCAACCCCATATGAAAAGACAAAAATGCTCCTCCATTAACAATTGTGTTGGTCTTCAACATATTCCTGATTGAGAGCATTTTTGTCTTTTCATATGGGTTGGGGTGCAAAAACAAAGATTTTTAAAAACAGGGTGCAAAGTCCAATTTGGACAATAATATGGGGTGCAAAGTCAAATTATTTTTCCTTTTCCTTTTTAATTCCTTTTTCCTTTTCTTTTTTTACTTTCTTTTTTTGTACTTCTTTCTTCTTCACCGGCCTCCCCAGCGATTCTTTCTTTTTCTTCAGCCCAACCCGCCGAACTCCTCCACACCTCTCTCCTCCCTTCTTTTTCTTCTTCTTCAGCTCGTATCTCCCCTTTCTCTTTTTTCTGCTTCAGCCCATCCCACCCCTGTCCTTCCCTTCTTCCTCATCCCGGCCTAGTATGAAGAGCCCCTTCTTTGTTATTCTTCTTTAGGCCGCCGGAGGCTGGAGCCCTCCTTACCCGCCGGTGCCGCCAATAAAGCTCAAATGTGCCATCCTCTCCAACTTTGGCTTTCAATTGGTATAAGATGAACGAAATGGGAGACAGAATGGGGCGGAAGAAAAAAGAAGGGGAGCCTGGGGAGGAGAAGGTATGGTGCAGTGGGAAGAAAAGAGGGGAGAAGAAGGTCCGGTGCGCATGGGAGGAAGAAAGACGGAGATGGTGGGTAGAAAGAAAAGGGGTAAAGATATGGGAAAGCAAAGAAAGAAAAAAGAAAAAGGAAATATTAAAAGGCCAAAATAAAATATTGACATCTGGACCGCCACGTAAGCGAAGTCACCGGTCAACCGGGAGTTAACGATCACAAATTTGATTGTTTTTGTATAGTTGAGGGACCTAATTGGGTATTTTTTTTAATTAGAGGGTCTAATTGATTTTCCTGATATACTTGGAGGATCAATTTGACAGTTTTCCCAATAAATCAAATACATACTACCTTCCTTTTGGAAAAGGAGTTTTGCCCTTTTAATTATTAAAAATGGGATAATTATCAAAATATAACTAAAAGCAGCTAAGTTTGCACAAATAGGCCAAAAAGTAAACAATGTTTTGATGGGAAAACTGTCAAATAGATCCTTGAACTTTCATAAAAAGATCAATTAAGTTCTTCTATAAGAGGTTCAGTCCGGTCGTCGCGATTTGGGGCAGTTCCCGGTGGAATTTTTTTATGAAATTTTTTGAGCATCTTATTCACCAAGTCTAATTTACTCATACCAAATTTCAGCTAAAAATTCAATCGCAACACATTCAAATTAATTCTTGAAGATAACTGTGCATTTTTGCGTTCTCGAATTAATTTGAATAAGATTCTAAAAAAAATCATCAAAAAATTTCACCGAGAACCGCCCAAATCGCGACGACCGGACAAAGTCTTCTATAGAAGGACTTAATTGATTTTTTTATGAAAGTTCGAGGACCTATTTGACAGTTTTCCCATGTTTTGATAGAACTAATTTTGTGTGTGTTGGACAAATATACCCTTGTAGTTATTGCAATGTTTTAATTTAAATAAAATAATAACAAATAATAAAATTAGTAAAAATACCAAAAAAAATTATCCCATTTTTCCTTATTCGGTAATATTTGTGTGATTTTAATTCATTCTTACTTTATTCCCACTTTATCAAATCATTATCAACCACATAATTCTATTTTTCTTTAAAACCACACTACTTCCTTCCGTCCCAATATTAGAGGGACGGGGGGAGTAATAATTTAAAAAACAATATTTAAAATTTAAAAAAAAAATAAAAAAAATAGAAACGCAAAAAAACACCTCCGCCTCTGCCACCCAGCACCACCACCTCCAGTCACCAGGGGAAAAATGTCTCATCCATTACAAATGCCACATTTATGGCTGATTCAATGAAAATGTTGGCATTAGGTCCGGGATTTTGGAACCGGGAACCAAAAAATGTTTGGAACCGAACCGATATGAAACTATTCGGTTCGGCTCCTGTTTTTGGGAGTTAAATACTTACCGGTTCGGTTCCTAATGTAAACTACCGGTTCGGTTCTCGGTTTTACATAAAAATATATTCAAGAAACCGATATAGAACCGTTAGTTACTTAGTTCATTCTTAGTGGGTTATTCTATTCGGTAATCCAAATCAGAAATAAAAAATATACGCAGTACAACTCGCAGCCCATTCGCAGCCCACAACTCCTTTAGTCCGCTTCAGACTTCATCGAGTGCAACAAGGATTTGCCGATTAGGAGGAAGGCCATGTTTGGCACACAAAAGCCTCTGCCTTCTAGCTTCTCTTTTCTTTAAAAAGACCTTAAAAGACTCTAGTTGTATGTTTGGCATGACATTTTTTAAGAGCTTTTCAAAAATTAAAAGATCTTTTTTGAGATGCTACCGGGTGTAGCATCTGAGAAAAGCTCGTGACTTTTAGTATTAATTAGTCCTAACAGCTTGTATACCAAACCGAACTAAATCAAACAGTCAGCTTTTTACCAAACAGCTATCACCTTTTCTTTTTAAGATCTTTTCAGTCACTAAAAGCTAACAGTTACTAAAAAGCTCACAAAAGTATCTTTTCAGCTAGTTGTGCCAAACATACCCGAAACCCCTAGCCACACCGCTCATCTTCTACTATGCTCTTCCATTCACTCTGTCAAAGATTTCACGGATTCATCAAAGGAGTCAAGGAGAGGTCATAGACGGTAGGTACGTTTTTCTTGCTCTTGGTATGTATTTAATTTAAGGGGTAATTTGACTTTGCACCCCATATTATTGTTCAAATTGGACTTTGCACCCTATTTTTAAAAATCTTTGTTTTTGCATCCAAATCCCATATGAAAAGACAAAAATGCCCTCAATCAGGAATATGTTGAAGACCAACACAATTGTTAATGGAGGGGCATTTTTGTCTTTTCATATGGGATTGTGGTGCAAAAACAAATATTTTTAAAAACGGGGTGCAAAGTCCAATTTGGACAATAAAATGAGGTGCAAACTCAAATAATCCCTTAATTTAAACTTTCGAACCTCCTAGCAAAACCAACGAAGCTTCTGAAGTTTTGAGAATTCGTTTGTGAAGCAAGACTGCCAGTGTGACAGAGTTTTGCAATCTCCTTTCTAGAATATGGAACATCAAAATTAAAATTGAAGCTTTTGATTTGTTTCGAAAATTGAAGTTTCTGACTTCTGTTTTGGAGGAGTTTAATCTCTTCCCCCATTTTGTTTGTAAATTGGGTTTCCACTACATTTATCATCTTTTTCACACATCCTAATCTTTCTGGTGATTTTTTTTAATCCTTTCTTGTATTTATTTTCCACTCTTCCATTTTGATTTCTGTATGCATATATACATAAACAATATGAAAAATAAGCTAATTGCATCCATTCTTTGAATAGTATTAGGACTAGATTTGATAATGACAACTAAAGCATACCAAATGTTTGAAAAATATGTCTATAACATACGTATTACCCCATTTTTCATTCTAAAAAACTGTTTTTTTTTCAGCTATTAATATGCAACTTCGATTGGTCAAGACCAGATTGCAACATCATATGACATAAATATGATGTTAATTTTGAAGTTATGGACTGAATTAATGTACTTCTTTTTTGTAAGGATAATTGTACTTTTTTTAAGCTCCAGTTTAGTACTTTTTGAACCATTTAACTTTCATGTTTCTATCGATCCTAACTTTTAACAATCCTGAACTTGTAATAATAAATTTGGGGGTTATTTGAAATGGGGTTATAGTTAGATTGATTGCAGCTTTGTGGAGTATTTTAACTTTTTTTGTGGCGGAAATTGGTGCATTACAGTTTTTTAAGAACCGAAAAATGTCAAGAACTGAACCGTTAACACTTGGTTCGGTTCCATAATGGTTCTAGAATTTTTTGTTGGGAAACGAACCGATATAAAAAATTGTGATTTTACAAACGGTTCCTCCAATTTTGAAGAGGAACCGAACCGATCCCAGGCCTAGTTGGCATTCTCAAAGAGTAATATGCCATTTTTTTTTGTATTTTCAGAAACAAAATGACAGTGGGGGGAATGCCACATGCATTAGGAATGCCATATTTATGGCAGTTTCAATGAAATTTTTGGCATTCTTAAAAAGTAATGTCTTTTTTGGCATTTTCAGAAAAAATGGCAATTTTTAGAAAAAATGGCATTTATTTACATCGGTCGGAGGTGGTGGTGCAGGGAGGCAGTACAGGCTATGGGAAAGGCATCCATTTTCTTTTATTTTTCTTATGGAGTTTTACTATTTTTATTAACTTTTATTTTTTTTAATAAATATTTAATTAATTTTTTATTATTTTTCTACGTTTTTTTTTTGAAATTTTTCGAATTTATTATGAATCAAACATTTAATTATGACTTTTGACTACTTTTAACTAATACTACGTATTTAAAGGAGGGGTAAGAATGAAATGAAAAAGTAGGTATGTTTCCAATAGGATCAAATATTATGGTCCTATTTTGGAATAAAAACATAACAAGTCCTATTTTGAATTTTTGTTATAGTTTTACTCCTATTTGGAGTAATTTCTAATTAACAATTGGATAATTGACAAAAAATTGAACTTACTCCGTATCTTTTAATTTATGAAAATATGACTAAATCATAGTTACATACTTAACCGTACTGTAGTGACACATATAATTACATCCTTCCGATGATGACAAACATGTAGTCACATCCCTCCGATGACACGGTAATTTTGCCCACAGTGACACCGCCACAGTAACATCGTCACAGTGACACGGTGACTCCGATCACAGTGACATCACCTAGTGACTCTCGGTTACAATGACTCCGCCAAAGTGACAAGCTGACTACCGTCAAAATGGCACCTCCACCATGAACTGCCGCTGCCTATCACTACCAGCCACCAGACCTCAACTCTCGGCTCTCGGTCACATCTCCTTCTCAACCCCAACAAATTGGTTTGAAATGCATATACGTAAATGTATATATATATATGGGATACGTTTTGAGGATATAACTAACTTTTAAAATTTATTATAGTATTATATTATTGTTACTACTATTATTATTATCATCATTATCATTATTATTATAAATATATATCATCACTATTATCAATCCAATATATTTGATTAACATTCGAATCAAATATACTAATATTCGGATCTTATTTGTTAACAATTCAAATCAAATGTAGTATTCTTATTTGTATTTGAATTTTTTTAAATCGAATTGTCTTATACGAATTCGAATCTCGAACCGAACATAAATTATTTGCATATTGATTCATTCAACCCTACGTACAACAAAGAAAGGAGAAGAAGAATTAGATGGAGGAGTCAATAGAGGTTTCGGAGGTGGAGTCATCGAATCACCGCGCCGCCGGAGTCTGGCTGTTGTCGCCGGATTCGTCATCTTCATCTGAGTGATGGATGTCCCCCTGCTAGCCGCGAACAGGGTTGGTCGATCTGGAGATGGATGTAGGCTTGGAGAGGAAAAGTAACGGCTGGGTGGAACGTATTGGGTTGGGATAGTCATACTATTGTCCTTACAAAAATTAGTTATTGTTTTGTAATATTTGGGCCATTTTTTCTTTCGAAAAAGTTGTTTGTACACATCAGTTGTACACATTTTATGTACACATACTAATTGTCTGTGTACACAAGCAACTCGTTCAGAAGCTGGCAAGTTGCATATTTACACAGGCAACGAAGAGTGTGAAGACAAAATGTGTACAACTTATAGACCGTTTGGAGACACTATTTTTCGAGTTATTAGGCTTATCGGTCAACTTTTTCACCAAACACGTAATTTTTGCTTTCGCGCTCTGAATTATGTAATAAGCAGAAAAAGTAAGGTTGAAGTTACTTTTCTGGCTGTATTGGCTGAAGTTACTGTAGATGACCATTTTAGCTATTTTTACATATAAATTTTTCTTTATTTTATTAATAAAATATATTTTAAAAATAATTTTTTCTTAAATCAGCAGAATCAGCCAATGCAGTCACTTCAACCAGAATATCATAAATTTCAGCAAAATCAGCCAAAACAGCCGATTTTAGTGCTACCAAACGGGCTCTATATGTACAAGTAGCACGGGTAACCCTCGGGTAACCCTCCCACAACTGTTTCCAAGTAAAGCGCAATATAGCATATAATTATGTAAACTTACTACTAAAATTGAAGGCTATTGTAAACTCGTTATACTAGCTAGCTTGTACGTTTTTCATTTGTTCCAAGATAAGAATTCACTAGAGTGGAGTTTTCTTATATTTATGTATGATTGATGCTTCAAAATACAATTGGTTGTGATTAATCAAATTTGTTTTCGCATTACTTTGCTATAGTTTTTAAAAGGTTAGTTGTTACTTTGTTAAAACTAAATATAGAGTTCCTAAAAGGTATTTCATTGAGTTGTGGTTGTTACTAGCTTGTTACTCCCTCCGTTCCATTTATATTGTCCCGTTATACCTTTTTGGGAAGTCCCACTTAAATTGTCACATACCATATTTGGCAAAGTTTGTGTGGCTCTAAATCATTCTTACTTTATTCTTACTTTATCAATTAATATCAACCACACAAACCCACTTTTCTTAATAACCGTGTCACCCTCTTCGGTCTCAATATAAATGGGACGGAGGTAGTATTATAAAAACGCTATTGGATAAGTAATGGGCTTAACAATTGTATAAATAATAATGGCGGTTAAAAGTTTTGTCGTTTTTAAATAACAATGGAGAACTATGTCGTCATTAAATTATTACGTAAAGATGAGTGAGTTTCTTGTTGTTAATAAGTAATGACGATATTATGTGCCGTCGTTGATTTTTAACGATGAACTTTGTTGTTAAAACCAATAACGATGGAGCCTATAACAATCACTTGACGACGGAAAAAAGTGGTCGTTAAAAGCTTTAACGATCAACTTTTGGGCCTATAACGACAACATTTTTCATTGCTAAAAACCATTTTTCTAGTAGTGATAGTAGTGGGCCATTGGTAAAAACCCAAATGTACCTGTGAGATGTCTAACGATTCGGTACGGTCCGGTTCTAAGGATATATAAAACCATTCGGTACTATGTCATTTTGAAACACTACAAATGTTATGGTACAATGCCAAACAGATGCTAAAAGAATTAGACAAATCTTGGAATTACTGTAGTATATCATTACGCCGACCAACTCACATGAAATTTGATGTATATAGCTTTTTCGCTTTGAGTGCAATTTTTTTAAACCTCACCCGAGATTTGAAGAGGGTGAAAATTACCCTTTTCCTCAGCTCCTTGCAAATTGTTATAACTTTTTCATTTTTTACTTAAATTTTACAAAAAAAATATCAAGTTAAATGCTTTTTATTATCTTACGTACAACACCATTATTGCATATGATAAGTTTTGGAAAAACTAATCTTTTCAATTATCTGCCTACCATGACTTTTATTCAAATTTTTAGAAAAATTACAAAGATGTTATATGAAAGATTATTTAACTACAAACCTAAGTATTTTTTTGTAAAATCAATCTGATAATGAAAGTGTTATAATAAATTGTTAAAAAGGAATTACCATGCCATTGTAGCACGCGAGGAATGAGAGATGTTCACTCTTTTGAAAAGGGTTAATAGAGTTGGACTGATGTTGGTCCGCATGAAATTCGCCCATAAAGATTCCCTTTAAAGAGCATTAAAACATCTCTAATGCAATAAAGCCCAGAGACATTATGTTTGATGCTAGCAAATTGACAAGTCCATGGAGAGAATAATTGAAAGCGGTGTTTTGAAGAACTGGCCATGGCCACCAAATAAAAGTGGGAAAGTTGAGGCACACAGAAAATGAACACGTACTCACCATTACACTTGGTGAAATAGCCTAGTCTTTCTTGAAATAGTCCATGATGGTGAAAATGGTCTGGGTGACGGTGAGGAGGAGGAGAATAACGGCAGCGCAGACAGACGTGAGTTTCCAAGGGGAGCTGAAGTATCTCTTGAAGTGTGATTGAGTGACATCGGCAATCAGAACATGCCATGGGTCGTCGTAGTGTTTGTCGAAGTGATTGTTCACTCGGACGAACACGTCCCTCAAGTAGCCTCCAGCGGCATCGCACACCGCTGCCTTCCCGAGCTGGTTCACAAAGGCGGCCACTTGGGGATGCGAAAATAAATGGGATTGGTGGCGCACGATGCTGGCCTCACACAGAGGAGTCACGTCCTCCTCCGAGTCTATGAGGCAGTCCAGAAACGCCACGTACTCCGACATGCTCTTTTCTTCCCTCCCGTAGAGCTGCTAGAAAGCCACGCAGTTCACCAAGAACCCGCACATCCTGTTGTCCAAGTTCAGCTGGGGCATCGTAATCATTCCCCGCTTGAATTCCACCTGCAGGAAACTCCTCCTCATGCTACTGTTTAACTTCAGCTTGATTCCGGCTCGCTCCAGCTTCGTGATGCTCTGGATTTTGCTCAGAGTGCCGGGCTTACAGTCCCAGTCTGTTAGAAATAGAAGAGATTGTTGGTATATGAATATGTTAAGTGATTTTAGTGAGGTGCAGTGTAGAGGAGGTGTTTTAGAGTAGAGCTCTTGTCTCTAGAAAAGATATATTGTATTGATGTTTCTTGGTTTGCTTAGTGAGCAAATGAGTACAATGAGTCCTATTTATAGGTGCTAGAGGATCATTCTAGATCCTTATTAAATGCTATGATTCTAGAGTATTCTACAACTATGTCTAATTAATCTAGATTTTACATAAGAATTCTCTAGTGGAGAATTCTCTAGAATACTTGTAGCTATATTTCTCTAGAACATCTCTAACCTTTTCTACATAGAATATTCTAGATAAATGCATCACTATTTAATACTCCTCCTTGATGCATTTGTCGGTGACTCCAAGCATTCTTCGAAGAAACTGGAACCTGTCTCTTGGCAGAGCCTTCGTGAAAATATCTGCCAATTGTTCTTCTGTTGGGCAGTACTTCATCTCAATTTGTCCCTTTGCTTGAACATCTCTCAAGAAGTGATACTTGATATCGATGTGCTTAGTGCGATTGTGCTGAACTGGATTTTTAGCCATCGCAATAGCTGATTTGTTGTCGCAAAATATCGCAGTCGCAGAACTTTGCAATTCTCCCATGTCTTCTAATATACTTTTTAGCCATATAGCTTGGCAGGCTGCTCCGGCTGCTGCAACATACTCGGCTTCGGCTGAAGACAGTGCAACAGAATCTTGCTTCTTTGATCCCCATGAGAAAATTCCCGAACCCAGCTTAAATGCGTAACCGGAGGTGCTTTTCATGTCATCTTGAGATCCAGCCCAATCACTGTCGCTATATCCACTTAGTCGTGAGTCAGGACTTGTTTTGTACCAAATACCATAATTGATGGTTCCTTGTAGGTACCTAAGGAGTCTCTTTGTTGCTCCATAATGAGTCTCAGTTGGACTTTCCATGAACCTCGAGAGCAAACTTGTAGCATACATTATGTCCGGCCTCGTAGCCGTTAAGTAGAGTAGACTCCCAATCAAACTCCGGTAATTGGTAGCATCCGTTGGCTTTGACCCATCTTCTTTCTTTAATTTCTCATTAGGAACCAACGGAGTAACGACGGCTTTGCAGTCTTGCATTTTGAACTTCTTTAGCATGTCCTTAATATATTTTTCTTGAGATAAGAAGATGCCTTCTTCTTCTTGACTTATCTCCATGCCAAGGAAGTAATGCATTAATCCCAAGTCACTCATCTCAAAGGTGTTCATCATGTCTCTCTTAAATTCTTCAATTAATTTTGAATTATTTCCCGTGACAATTAAGTCATCAACATATAGAGAGATGATGAGAATGTCAGTTTTACCTTGGGATTTGATGTATAGTGTAGCCTCGTTCTTGCTCCTCCTGAACCCTTGACGGGTGAAGTATCCATCAATCTTGCTATACCAGGCTCGTGGAGCTTGTTTGAGCCCATAGAGCGCTTTCTTTAGACGAAAAACTTTTCCTTCTTCTTTGATGAATCCTTCCGGTTGCTCCACATACACTTCTTCTTTTAGTTCTCCATTTAGAAAGGCTGACTTGACATCTAGCTGATAAATTTTCCATTCCTTCTGAGCTGCAAGAGCTATGAGTGTTCTTATGGTGTCCATCCGAGCAACTGGTGCAAACGTCTCTGTGTAATCTACTCCCGGTATTTGAGCATACCCTTTTGCAACCAGCCTTGCCTTATGCTTCTGAATTGAGCCATCAGGGTTCAGTTTCGTTTTGTACACCCATTTGACTCCAATAACCTCCTTGTTATGTGGAAGATCTACCATTTCCCAAGTATCATTCTTTTCTATCATTTTGATCTCCTCTTCCATTGCTTTAATCCAAACTTTTTCTTTGGAGGCTTCAGCGTAGCTATGTGGCTCCAAGGAACAAAAGTTGCATGTTTCATAGATATCAGTAGACTCATATAGGTCTGCTAGAGTTCTTACCCGAAGGGGTGGAGATTCTGGCGAGGAGTCATGTTCGCTAGATTTATTCGCTTCGGAAGAGGATCTTGGAGTAGATGTGGGGCTCTGTTGATTGTGATCTTCTTCTTCTGGGATTTCCTCTAGTTGGGTAGTAGTTGTCTTTCTTTCAACTCTTTCCGTCTCCCAATTCCAAGAGGCTTGCTCATCAAACTCCACATCTCGACTTGTCACCAGTTTCTTAGTCTCGAGATTATAGATTCGATATCCCTTGGATTTGGAGCTGTAACCGAGGAAGATGCCCTTCTCTGCTTTATCTTCTAACTTGTGCCTTTTTACAGAGGGAACATGAATGTAGCATATGCTTCCGAAGACCTTCAAATGTTTAGCTGAAGGTTTTTGTCCCGACCATGCCTCAATAGGTGTTTTGTTTAAAACCGCCTTAGTTGGACATCGATTGAGTACGTAGACTGAAGTATACACTGCTTCTGCCCAGAACATTTTAGGCATTCCTTTTTCAGCTAACATTGATCTTGCCATCTCCATGACTGTGCGGTTCTTCCTTTCGGATACCCCATTTTGTTGTGGAGTGTATGCTACTGTTAGTTGATGCTCCATGCCTTCATCTTCACAGAACTGATCAAATTCTTTTGAGTTATATTCGGTACCTCGATCGCTTCTCAACTTCTTGATTTGATGACCACTTTGTTTCTCCACGAAGTTCTTGAATCTCTTGAATATTCTAAAAACTTCGGATTTTTCTTGAAAGAAATACACCCATGTCATCCTTGAGTAATCATCGATGAAGAGTATGAAGTACCTGTTCTTGGAAACTGAAGGCGTGCGCATTGGACCGCAGACATCGGTGTGGACAAGCTCTAGTATCTGTTTTGCTCTCCATGTCTTCTCTGTTGGAAATGGTTGCCTGTGCTGCTTCCCAACCATACATCCTTCACATACTCCTTCTTTTTCATCCAGTAGAGGCATGTCTCTCATCATATTCTTTTGATGTAGTAATCTCAAGGCATTGAGATTGAAATGCCCAAATCTTCGATGCCATAGACTCGTATCACTTAGTTGAGCTACCATTGCTTTTTGTGGGTATTGCCATTGAATGGGAAAGTTTCTATTATTTCCCATTTTCACTTCAGCAATTTCTTGGTTATTTTTCTTGTCATAAATTCGACAAGAATTTTTCTCAAAATGTAGGGCATATCCACTTTCCATCATTTGGCCAACACTTAGTAGATTTTGTGCAAGGCGTGGCACTAGGAGAACGTTTCTAATATAGCGCGTACCTTTCTTTGTATCTATGACAATGGTACCTTTCCCTTTTGCCTCCACCAATTCGCCATTGCCCATCTTGACCTTTGTCTTGATAGAAGTATCCAACTCATGGAAGATGGTCTCGTTGGATGTCATGTGGTTGCTGCACCCGCTATCGATGTACCACTCTTCTTCTTTCGCTTCGATTGCCGAGTGACATGCATAGAACATGTACTCCTTCTCCTTGAAATCTTCAGAATAGTTGGCCTGATGATTTCTTCTATCTCTGCAATCTTTTTCTTCATGCCCGAACCTCTTGCAATTTTTGCATTGTGGCTTTCCTCGATGGTAGCAATCTTTCTCTAAGTGGTTAGTCTTCTTGCATATTTTGCATGGTGGAAAGTTTGTCTTCCTCTCCTTGTTGCTAGAATTCCCATATTTATGAGATTTAAAGTTTCCACCATTTCTTGAGTCATTCCTTTTAATGTTGAGCTTAGATTGGAAGGCACTTTCTAATGAACTTTCATGTCGCCTGTTAAGCCTGTGCTCACGTGCTTCTAGTGACCCCATTAATTCAGTGATGGACATTTTTGATAGATCTTTTGACTCCTCAATAGCCGACACTACAGGGTCATATTTTTCAGGGAGACTGATTAAGACCTTTTGGATTATTTTCTCGTAGGTTATGTTTTCTCCAAGAGTTCTCATTTCGTTGACTATATGTATAACCCGAGAGAAATAATCTTTTGCCATTTCAGAATCTCTCATCTTCAAATTTTCGAACTCTCTTCTTAAACTTTGTAATTTAATAGTTCTAACTTTCTCATTTCCTTGAAATTCCTCCTTAAGAATATCCCAAGCTTCTTTTGCCGTAGTAGCACGAATTATTCTCGGGAAAATGGTATCACTAACGGATTGTTGAAGAAGATAGAGAGCTCTAGCATTTTGCTGCTTTTGTTTCTTACATACCTCGGAAGTTGATGCGTCGTCGCTTCCTTTTTCCGGAGTGATGATTCCTTCTTCAACAATATCCCAAAGATCATGTGATTCTAGGCAAGTCTTCATACGGACACTCCAATAGTCGTAGCTTTCTCCGTTGAACATTGGAGTCGATACCGAGAAGCTTGATGTCGCCATAACGCCCGCTTGTGATCGAACAGGCTCTGATACCACTTGTTAGAAATAGAAGAGATTGTTGGTATATGAATATGTTAAGTGATTTTAGTGAGGTGCAGTGTAGAGGAGGTGTTTTAGAGTAGAGCTCTTGTCTCTAGAAAAGATATATTGTATTGATGTTTCTTGGTTTGCTTAGTGAGCAAATGAGTACAATGAGTCCTATTTATAGGTGCTAGAGGATCATTCTAGATCCTTATTAAATGCTATGATTCTAGAGTATTCTACAACTATGTCTAATTAATCTAGATTTTACATAAGAATTCTCTAGTGGAGAATTCTCTAGAATACTTGTAGCTATATTTCTCTAGAACATCTCTAACCTTTTCTACATAGAATATTCTAGATAAATGCATCACTATTTAATACAGTCAGTCCTCGGTAAACATTTCAACCGGGACTCTTCTGCCGCGCCATTCTGCTTGGTTTCGGCTTGTAACGCCATTACTGACTGCCACTGGGACTCTTCCATGGCGCTATGATGCTTGCTTTCAACCGGGGGCGGGAAATAACTTTTCCTCACCAAATCAAGTAGATGTGCGGGTACCCATTCCTTGCAGATCGTGTTCGCTGGTCCTCCCAAATCACGCGATCTGTTGAAGAAGCGGAGGGCAGTGAGGGGCAGCAAACGGTGGCTCTCGCCGGGCGAACTATCGCTTCCCATTTGAGTGAGCTGGAACAATTTCTGGAGCACCAAATATGGTATTTGGTTCTCCAGGCAGAGAAAGTCGTGGTGGAGGCCAAATTGTAGCCGTGTCATTGACCGAAATGGATCGTCTGCCTCCAAGGGAACTTCATCACTGTATGCCAGAAACATTTCAACCACAAAGCACCCGTCAAGAACCAACATCGCTACGAAATCATCCTCTTTGAAAGTGGTTGTATCCTCTGAATATGATGCTCGGGCTACTGGTTCCAATTCTTTGACAGCTTTTACGTACTGCTCTATATCCATGCCGTTTTTCTCCACCGTCCTGTTTCTCAATCTGTTCAGGAACCTCACCTTGCGCTTCTCCATCTCCTTCAAATGCGGCTTCCCATGGTGGTATGGACCGATTGACACCGTGCGAGGTTCATGCGGTCGGGTTTTAACTTCGGAATCCGGCAGGTACTCCTGAGGTACCCGGAAAATGCAGCAACTGGATGAGCTTTGAATTCCGCCGGCCGATTCGCTGATTAAATTATCCGATTCCAGCAACTTACTTTTGATCAATTGTATGATTTTGTCTACATCGACTTCCCCATTGCTGCTTCGGAGTCCAGCCTCTTCATCCTCAATCCGGGGCTGCTCTTCTTTGGAATTCCCCCTATCCATGATTGATTCAGATTGTGGGTATTACTCCAAATTACGGAGTACAAATTACTTTTAATTGGAGTGGTAGTGACTAACATGTGGAGTAGCTGGTTCCCAGCCAAGGGAAACATCACAATCGTACTTTGTTCAGAAATATGACATAACATAGTATGCTTCCTTAGCTATTCCATGTACTCTCCGTCATAAAAATACTTCCTACTTTCCCTTTTTGTCTGTCCCAAAAAAAAACTTTATTTTCCCTTTTTGGCAAATAATTTATGGTCCACAACAATTCTTACATATTTTTCTCTCCTCTGCACAACTCTCCACAATACAATTCTCACTATCTTAATTTGTGTGTCATTTGCAGGGCCGGCCCAGGGCATGGCTGCCCAGTGCGACCGCACAGGGCCCGGATTTTTGAAGGGCCAAAAAAAAATTAGTATTACGCCCCAGCCCAAAATCCCCCTGCGTAAATCTAAATATGCTTGAAGAATGTCCCTTTTTAAATAAATTGTAAGTTATTAATGACTATTTTTATCATTACATTTATTCGTAAGTTGTATTTTAAAACAATTTGCTTGTGTTGCAACTTGAAAAACGGGCCAAATTTTATTCTCGCACAGGGTCTCCATTTCTTCGGGACCTGAAATGTTGATGTAGTCTATACATCATACTCCCTCCGTCCCTAATAACTTTGCCAAATTTGACCGGCACGTGGATTAATAAAGTAAAAACTGTGTGGTTGAGGTTTGTGCAGAGGAGAGAGAATTAACTGGAACCACAAATTCTTTACTTAAATGGGAAAGTGGCAAAGTTAATGAGACATCCAAAAAAGGAAAGTTGGCAAAGTTATAAGGGACGGAGGGAGTATCATATACTACCTTCGTTCCAAATTGATTTGTAAATTTGATTTTTCTTGGTCAAACAGTTTTAATTTATTTGTTTAATTAGGATGCCAATTTTTAATTATATTCTAATTTGAAGTTTGCAACTTTGAAGATATTTTAATGCAGTTTCTGAATATGTAAATTTTAATAATTAAAAATTGAGTTAATTATCGGTAGGAGGATTGACTTTTATTATTAGTTGAGCAAAAATGTTGATTTTGCAAATCATTTTAGGATGGAGAGAGTATAAGAGAGTATGGTTGGTGCTCTGAGCAGTTTTGGCCCGAACCGGGCCCGACCCGGCCCGCTCACTGTAGCAACCGGCCCGACCCGGTCCACCGGGCCTCAGGCGGTTCAGGCCTACCCGGCCCGGGTGCAGGGCGGTCCGGGCTCGGGCCTTTATTTTCTTGAACCGGCCCGGCCGGGCCGGGCCCGGTCCGGGCCTAACGGCTAATTTTTTTAAAAAAAAAAATCTTTTTCAATTATTTTTTGGCCTTGGTCTTTGTCAAACGGCTATTGTAGCCGTTGCGGCTGTTTGGGAGCCTCCAAACGGCTCTATAGCCGTTGGAGGGGGGTGGGGGTGGGGGGGGGGGGTTGGGGGTGGGGGGAGAAAAAAAAAACTATTTATACTCCTATTTTCTATACATTTTTTACACCTTCTCTACTCTCTAATTCTCTATTCTCTCAATCTCTAAAATCTTCATTCATCTCCATCTTCATCTTCTATTCTTCTCCAATTTATCTCTACATATATATTATTTATATAAATATTATTATATCTACTTATATATTTATTATCTACTTATATATACATATATTACATTACTAATATTTATTATCTACTTAATATATACTCCGTATTTATTATCTTATAATTAGCTACTTTACATATATATATATATATATATATATATATATATATATATATATTATATAACTTATATTCCTTATCTACTAAATCTCTACTTATTATTAATATATTATATCTACTTATATATTTATTATCTACTTATATATATACATATAGTACTTTACTAATATTTATTGTCTACTTAATAGTTGATATATACTTACTATCTTCTTAAAGTAGATAATTTGATATCTAATTATCTACTTTACATACATATATTATCTTCTCCCTATTCATCATCAACCAATCGGCCAATCCACCAAGGTACTCTTCTCTTCTTTTATCCATTAATGGCGTTATATTCAAGTAGTTAATTTGTTGCATTATTCATTAAAGTGTACAAGTAGTAAATTTAGACATTTTAATTAAAGTATAAAACTAGTTAATTTGTTGCATTTCTCATTAAAGTGTACACCTAGTAAATTTAGACATTTTAATTAAAGTATAAAACTAGTTAAGTTATTGCATTATTCATTTAAGTGTACAAATAGTAAATTTAGACATTTTAATTAAAGTATAAAACTAGTTAATTTGTTGCATTTCTCATTAAAGTGTACACCTAGTAAATTTAGACATTTTAATTAAAGTATAAAACTAGTTAAGTTATTGCATTATTCATTCAAGTGTACAAGTAGTAAATTTAGACATTTTAATTAAAGTATAAAACTAGTTAATTTGTTGCATTTCTCATTAAAGTGTACACCTAGTAAATTTAGACATTTTAATTAAAGTATAAAACTAGTTAAGTTATTGCATTATTCATTAAAGTGTACAAGTAGTAAATTTAGACATTTTAATTAAAGTACTCCCTCCGTTCTTTAATAAAAGTCCTTCTTTCTTTTTTGGGACGTTTTTTTTATCTGTCCTCCTTTCCATTTCAGGAAAGTTTTTACTCTAAATATACCTTTATACCCCCACTTTTATTACCATTACCCCTTTCTCTTTCCTACTTTTTCATTTACCCACTACTCATTACACCTTTTACACTACCCCTACTATTTTCCTCTTAAAACCCGTGCCAAAGCCTAAGAGGACTTATATTAAAGAACGGAGGGAGTATAAAACTAGTTAATTTGTTGCATTTCTCATTAAAGTGTACACCTAGTAAATTTAGACATATTAAAATATTTGATATACTTTTATATTTGTTAAGATGGAGCGCGGTAGACATTCTTTGGATATCGGAAATCTCCAACGCAACCGAAAGAAAGAGATTGCGAGAACTCATCCTAGTTTGCGCAAAAAAAGCGGGCAGTCCGGATCTTCTTCTCAAAGTGGATGGGAGGACGAACCGGAATACCAAAGGCGATCGAGATGGTGAAAGAATGTCCGACGAGCAACTACAACAACTATTGGCTCAAAATCCTCAATTTTTCCATCAACGAGACATCCCGGACGATATTCACACCATTGACGAAGAAGAGCTCGAGGATGACGATCCGGAGGAGGACGCGGGGGGCGCCGGGAGTCACGGCACCCCGGATGAGGAGCAAGTGGCGGATTACTAGGGTGGTTCATCCCAAATAGGTACGAAATCTAAATCTCCTATTATAGAAAATAATTTTAAAAAGTATAAAGACCCAAGCACCGAGAAATGGTACGCAAGTTGCAAACATTGCGATAAGGTGTACAGTTTGGAAACTTCGGGCGGATTCGGGAGCCTCAAAAGGAATCTTATGGGAAAGCACAAGGTGGAGTACGCAAAAATTGAGAAAGGCAAGGGGAAGCAAACACAAATATCGAGGTTTGCAAATAACCAACCTTATGGTAATTTCTCATACAATGATCAACAAAATTTGACTGGTATGGCTAACTTTATAGTTGAAGAAAATTTACCTTATTTGTTTTCTAAAAGTGTTTCTTTTAAAGAGTATGCACAAACTTGTTTAAATCCTCAATTTCGAAGTTATAGTCGAAAAAACGGTTAAAAAAGAAATTATAAGGCTTTATAAGGCGGAAAAGTTGAACTTACAAAATTTTTTTGCAAACTATGATGGACGTGTTACTGTTTGTTCTGACATATGGGAGGACACCTATCATAATTTACATTATTTGGGTTTGACTGCACATTATGTCGGTGATGATTGGAATTTGCATAAACGTGTTCTTGCTTTTCGTGAATTTAATGATCGTCACACCGCCGAACATATTTATATTTTGATTAAGCGTATTTTAATTGAGTATAATTTGGTTGATAAGGTGTTTGCTATAGGTTTTGATAATGCTACTAATAATATTGCTGCTATACCTAGATTGCGTGAATTGTGTGGTTCTACTACTTTGATGGGTAGATTTTTTCATCAACGATGTGCATGCCATATAATAAATTTATGTGTGCAGGATGGTCTAAAAGCGTTGGGAGATGCTATGGAGGTAGCGAAGGGGGGGATTAGACGTATTTGGGCTAATGGTCAACTTAAATTAAAATGGAAATATTATTTGAATGAAAGAAATGTGAAATATGTTGCTTTTCCTAAAGATTTGTCTATTCGGTGGAATAGTTCTTATAAATTAATTAGAGTTCTTATTAGATATAAAGAACATTTTCCTGCTTTTTTAAAAGAATATGATAACTACATTTTAAACTCCGCTCACATCGACACTTGCGAAAAAATTTGTAATGTTTTGATATTTTTTAATAATGCAACTGAAAGTTTTAGTCATGTTTATAAACCTACTTCAAACGAATTTATGCGTGAACTTGTTAATCTCGCCGGTGCTTTTAATGAATTTCCAAATGCCGATTATGTGAGCTATTTTTGTACTTTTATGAAGGAAAAGTTTTTAAAATATTATGCACATATTCCACATATTTATGGTATTGCATTTATTCTCGATCCTCGTTATCGACTTGGTAATTTGGAACAATGTTACAAGTTCTATTATCAATCTTTTTATGGTGATTTTCCAATGTATGAAGATAACCCTATAGATCCGCAATCTGAATACAACGAGGTTAGTAGTTTATTTTATTCTTTATTTAATGAGTTTCGTGCACAATATGGCAATGTGCCCCCTCCCCCAACCCAAACATCTTCATCTAAAGGAAAATGTTTTTTTAAATCTGCATTTGGCAATCTTATGAAAAAAGCTAAAACAACGCACACTACTGAACAAAGCACAATTAATGAGATTGCTTTGTATATTAACTATGAGGTTGAGTTTGTAGAAAATGAAGAATTTGACGTCCTAAAGTGGTGGAAGTCAAAAGAAAGAAC